TTACCTTACGCTCACTTTAAGCTTTTATATCCTGAACCAAACAAAAGTGGTATAATTCTGCCCCAGTGTGTGATTTTCAGATAGCACGCCAACGTTTCTTTTGACCAAACCAGAGTTGGTAAATGTTGAAACAGTGGAAAGACTAACCAAGATTATTTTGGTGAGTTTTATTTAGTTTCTGTCGTGTTGAATGAAGTGTATTTTAAGAGTTAATAAGGAAGTCAGGGACACATTCAGAAGGTGTAACTTTAAGGTCGTATTTTTCTGTTTTAATAAGGAAAATAGGTGCAAGAGTGTTTCCTTTCTTGACAGTTTATTTAGTTTATTTATTAGACTTGGAAAGGTTGTAGAGCATCTGGAGCATAGTGAAATCGCAACTGAATCAGCAAACGCTCGGTTAGTTAGTTTTTATTTATTTCTTTCATATCTACAGGAACCTTGCCCTCTGCCAGTGGCGGATCTAGCTATTTTATGGCTAGGATGTTTTGATGTTGGATCTGCCTGTCCCTGGAGGCGGGCATACAAAAACTGCGGAAGTACAATCTGTAGTTCAAACAACAGCCCTTGACCCAACTCGTCATCTGGCAGACTTTTGCTGCAGGCAACATGAATGAAAGTTAACCATTGTCCATTTGCATACACTTACCCACATTGTCAGGATACAAAGCTGATTGCTGATTCCTTTAACACATGCTCTAATTGTGCTTACTGTCAGTGAATTAAATGATGAAATAAAATATTCGTTTCACCGCAGAAACACCTCAAACACCCCCGCAGGTCATTTAAAACAGAACACAGCCGACAGGACCGTTTTATTTTTTACTCCTGTGTACTCTCTTTTTATTCTCCCGACACACACAACGCCATGTAGTGGAAAATCAAAAGGACATCACCGCCAGAACATTCCACTTTTAACTCATTACATAATGCGTTCTCATTTCTTTATTGCACTTATGCACGGGTGCTCACATTCACCGGCGGAGCGCTGCCGGCTGCATGCGTGCGCCACGTGCTTTATGTGTTGTGATGACGGAGCGTCGTAGAGGTGGATTCACTCTGCTGTCTGGAATAGCGCTGATCCTCTTAAATGATTACTAGCTGCGACCCGAGAGAGAGAGAGGCGACCTGCGTGGGGAACATGCGGACAGATGTCTCACCCCCTCCAGCAACAAAACACACACACAACATCTATGTTTACTTCAGTCTACAGAGAGGCTTGGACTAGATCCCTTTCCTTTTAATAGACTCTAAGTCTATTATACCGCTCATTTGTACCCACACAAAAGGCAATTCCTTTAATTTATTCAGCACCTTTTTTCTTTCGGGAAGTGGATTGTGTGTTAAGCACTAAGGAGAGAAATGGGCCTCTTAATCAGGCAAGTTAGCTAAATTAGTTGTGGCAGTATGTTTAGATCGCAACATCCCTTCAAATCAACCAGTTAGTTTCTGTTTGCTTGTGAATGTGTGTGTGTCATCCCTACAGTCCAGATACCACATTGGGTACCTGGAAAATTGTGTGCATTGTCTGTATTTGCATGTATGTGTATAACGCTGTGCTGAAAACACTGTCTGAAGTCGATTCTTAAAATGTGGTTATGTCCATTAAGTACATAAATGGCAGTTTTCCTGAGGGGACAAAACCTGCAACAAAGCTTTTTATTTCACTTAGAACAAGAAATGCAGGTCAGTCTACCCAAACCTGACGAGGGTTTTGTGTGCCTCATGTACAGTTAATCTTAATGTGGCTATAGAAATACAGGAATGGCTCACCTGAACAAAAGCTGGCAGGTCTTCTGGATACAAAGTCTTGTTTGCTGACTGAAGCAGAGAGGTGACAGAGGAAACTGCACAGAAGAGTGCCGCCATTGTCGCGCGTTCTTCCCGGCAACCGCTGGGGAATGTGCGTGGTAGTGCTCAGTGTCGAGCCCTGCCCTTTCCAGCGTGCCACTCCGAAGTTCACCAACACTATAAAACATGTTTTGTCTTTGCCTCCCCCTTGTTGACTTCAATTCCCTCGCCCTCCTCTGTGCTTGACATTTGACTGTGTGTGGGTGCCTTTGGTCCCTGTAGGGTGTCACGCTCTCAGGCTCTGCTGGGGCCCCAGATGCACACAACTGGAGTCCAGAGCCAAAGATTTGCCCTTTTGTCCTCTGTTGAGAGCGACCCTCCACGAACGCCTGCGTGCTGAAAAGAAGCAGAGCCATTCTGGATTGTTTCCCCCTTCTGAAATCCTAAATGTCGGTCCGTCAGTTTCTGGTTTATTCTGCTTTGTAGCCTTGGGGACATGGCTTTAAAACTTCACTGACCCTTTTGAAATTGTGTCAGGCTTGTTCTATATGCCACAAATCAAGCTTTTCAGTGTTGGTCTTCGACCTTTCTCAATCAGTCAATGATATTTCCATCCTCTATCCTTTTACAAATCAAGAGTCATCCTCTTGCCACTGAACCTTTCACAGCACAAGGGATACCTCAGGCCGTGTTGGGGTTTAATTTTGTAATTTCAGCGGGTTGATTCGCTATTTAAAGTACTCCAGGGATGGAAGAGTAGTTGTTTTTCATCAAACATCAAGGGTACATCAAAGACCTCAGGCTAATATCAGGGATTTACTTGTTTTTATGTTTCTCAGTATTCAGTCTTGCGCATGCTTTTGTGCCCCAGGACACCAGATATAATATCCACATCAGTATGTACACAGTATGTTCCCACCAATGAGACAATGCAAGGATGGAGGCATTGATGTACTGTGCATATTCGATGTCATCTAGCTTTTGTTGAAATTATTTCTCTCAGTCAGACGCCACTGTAGTCATTAGAACAGAGCCGGTTGGAACAGCTGTGGAAAACCAACATCTGTAATCTGAGTTGATTGCATGACTTTTAAAAAAAAAAAAAATAAAAATTTGGAACACTTCCACGCGGGCGCAGGTGTGTCCATCAAGTAACACCAGAGCGACAAGCTTCTCGCTTATTGTTTTCCTGCTTCCCACCCCAAACTTTCTGCTGGAGTGCTGGTTTGGGAGGTTGGGGGTGTGCTGTGGTGGGACTAGAGGGAGGTAGGGGGATGAAAAGGAAGTGGAGGAACCCCCTCCATCTCACCTCCCCTATCCCATCTCATTCCATGTCATTGCGTGGTGGGGGTGGCAAGCAAACAAAACAATGAAGGCTTTGTGAGAGGGTCCCACCGTGACAGGATTGTTGGGGGGGTCAGGGCTTAGCGAAGCGTAGCCACTTCATTAGTCAGGGCTCTCCTTTTTGCACCTCCTCCTGCTCCCATCCTCCCTCCCCTCCCTGTCATTCTCTCGCTGCCTTTCCTTCCCCGCTCACTCGTGGAACCACAGAGGCAGGAGCCGCTCTGGCTGGACAGCACTGAGCTTAGCGCAGAGTTTTTGACGAGGATGTGCTTTTGAGGCTGGTCCGAGTAGTTTGGTGCAGCTCCGTCGATCCGCGCCGTACCGGTTTTCTCCTGAGGTAGGTTGCCTTGTGTTGTCATGCCTCCTATCCCGTCCTGTCCTTGGCCGCTGACTTGCATCTTCTCTCCCCTGAGCTGCAGTTTTGGTGCCGGATGACTGGACACAGCTCTCTCAGACGGGCCCTTTTTGATGAACAGCTGAGGATGTGATTTTAGTGTCAGTGGTTATGGAGGCATTTCTTGTCAGTTTCATCGCTCTATGCATGATGACATCAGTGGAAATACACCACACATACTAGAAGTTTCCCGAACCCATTTTAGTGTAGAATTTTAGGTTTATATGAGCTGATATTTGTGTGCCTGTGGAGGATGGGGGGGTTGTGGTGGTGGGGACCTATTGCCTCAGCTGTGTTGACCAAATTATCAATGTTATTAGGATCTACGTGCTTGTGATTGCTTTCTCCCCCCCACCCACACTGCCTCTCTTTGTCAAACACACCCCCTAAGGGACAGTTGAGCGTCAGGATAATCCTTCACATCCTGTGTGGGAAAGGGCCGAAAGGAGCACTCAGACTAACCCCATCACTTCCTCGTGAGAGAGACTGATCCAGTAAAACTCACTGTGTGTCCAGCAAAAACAACAACTTCCCGGCTGTTTTCTTACCCAGAGGGCCATTCGCAGCATCCTGAGTGCCTGTGTGCAGCTTGTGTCCTGTTAAACTGCCCTTTGTCATGTCCTCCTCTTAATACTTTATCACAGTTCAGGGCAAAATAGCTACATGGTATTAAACTTGACCTGCTGATTCACCAAGAAGTTGAAATTTGAATGCACAGGGAAGTGGGAGAAGACTGTAATGACTGTCTTCTCCGCTGATGACAGTGAGGGCAGATATATTGGAGATCGAAGGGGCATATGTCTGAAAGTAGTTTAAAAGACTGAATGGACTTGATGGGATAGTTTAGTGTGTTAAGTCTGCAGATCAGAGTTATTTTTTCTTTCTTATATCTCTTTTGTGTCAGGAGTCAGAAGGCTGCAGTGTTGGGTTGGATGATAAATCAAATATATTTAACATCAGGAATCTCTAACTGACCTAACTTTACTCTCATCACAGTTAAGTACGTACTGATGTAACAAGAATAATTTTTAATACATTTATCAGAATCTTTATTGTGATATAGATTTTGGATTATGTCATCCAGCCCTGGGGGATAGGATGTTTTTACATGCTTTATAATAAAAAGCATGTTGAGTTTACTAAAAATTGCCTTGCTTTGCCTAAAGATTTGATATTTTGAGATATGCACAAATTTGCTTTCCTGCTGAGAGATGGATGTGAAGATCGATACTGTGTGTGTGTGTGTGTGTGTGTGTGTGTTAAGTATGGAACTAGAGCTTAGTAAGGGGAAAGGCTAGGAGCTTGGTTATCTCAAATCACCTCAGCACTTCTAATACTAATTCACATGTTGTCTCATTTGTAAATTTGTGCATGAACAACTAAAAAGATAATTTGCAACACGATGGAAGCACGACTGACCTTCTAATGTTTGGTCTTTTTTTTTAACCCATCTCTCTGTCTGATCTTTCTGCAGAATGAAGAAGTGAATCTTCTGTGATCACAGTCATGGCTGTCCAGACTGGCATCCAGGTAGGCCTATCACCATCTAGATAGGATTAGGTGTACTTTGATTGGCCAGTGGGGACATTTAGTCCATCATTGAAAGTGGTACAAGTTGGAGATCAAAGACTAAGACATTTTCACATGGCTGTGTTTTCTTTCCTTTCTTTAGTTTTTTGTAGATATTGTTAAAATTGTGTTTCTGATACAACATGTTTGGATTGATTGATGTCTTTGTTTGGTTGAGTTTACAAAATTGGCAGCTAACTTCACCATTTTTCCAGATCCTGTGGACATTTCATACCAGAATTATTTCGCTACACATCTGTACCAAGTTTGAAATTCGAATTGCATTAGTGCTAGACCTGACTTTGAGTACTTTTTATAGCACCCTGTTTCGGTCAGTAAATATCATTCTTAGTGCAGTGAATCAGCAAGACTATCGTGCCAAATTGGGGGAGAAGTTCCCAGACTAGAGTTATTCAGATTAAATAAAGAACCACAGACATCTGTCTCCCACTCAACAGCTGCGGCGAGCCCACCTGTGTTACAGCATGCCGTCTTGTTGTTTTTACGCATGTCTGACATTCACCGCCCGGACCCTGAGGAGTTTCTCCGCACATTTTTTAGGGGGAGTGGGTGGAATGTGCAACACTTTCCCCTTCCCCTCCCAGCAACAAAGTGTCAGGCATCCCAAAACAACAATCGTATCGTGTTACAGAGTTGTGACATGGCAGCACCTCGTTGAGAAGAGCTTTCCTCTGTCATCGGGTTGGGAAAGTCCTGCCTCTCCCCACCCGTCTTGGACTGTGGATATGCAAAAAATATGTATCCCATGTGGCAGGAAACCTTTCAGACTGATGCCGATGTGTTGACGAGGCTGTGAAGAGCCTCCCCAGAGATACTGATGAGCTGTGGTTGGATGCTCTAGCTTTAGACGCAGCAGATTAACCCCAAAGGTCGTTTTAATTAAAGGGTTTGTGTGGACTAGGAGATATTTAGACTAGTTTATATGGTGCATTATCTCTATAGGATGCCTTACGTTTAACGTGGGTATGAGTACTTCACAAGTACTTCACAACCCTTCAGGGACAACTCCTGGTGATTTTTAAAATCTGTTCTGTCTTTTCTTTTTTTAGTTAAAGTTTTACTAAAGTGCATCTCATTACCATGCAGTACAAAGAGCAGATAACACAATGGTGTTCACTTTCTAATTGCCATCTCTATAAAACGTATAGAACAAATGCAATAAAATTGTCTCACATTTGTCTGTCGTGGCGTGGACACATGAAGTTAATTCATGTGTTTGTAGAACACAGATAACAGAAGAAGTGGATGATTTTTTTTTTCCTTTTTTTTTATTTCTTCTGTTATTGCGTGTTATCAAAGGCACCCTGTGAGGATATTGATTCAAATCAGACTGTGGTGATGCTGCAGAGACTGTAACACTGCAGCTACTTCCGAAGCTCAGCTCAGAGCTTCACTGCACATGTAGAGCAGTCACATTCAATAACTGGTCACACTCTGAGTGCTCTGTTCACCCATGCTGAAAATGTATGCACTCGTGGAAGTATAAGTAGCATACGTGCTCATCTATTAATGCAACAGTAAATGATACCATTGTAAAATATGCCCATCTGCAGGGATTGGTCTCATGCCTTGGATTGTTATATACAGTCTATGCTTGGATGAAAACACTGGAGTCACAAGTTTATTATTAATAAATATATATATATATTTTTTTTACATCAATAAGCAGGGATGAAGAGGTTTTTAGGTTATTATTTTTAATAACCTAAATAAATGTATGGCCCACTTATGGTAGGGGAAATGGAGCAAGCTGTAAACATAACATTGACATGATAGTATCAACTAACTAAGTTGATATAGCTAAAGTGTTAGCAAACAGCTAGCAAACTAACTGACACGGAGCAACATTATCATTCATTTAGAGTTGTGTTTCTGGTTACCTGACAAATGGGAGTCCAATATTCACATTCCTTTTAACTCTGTTTTGGTCTCCATTTCACACCTAAGGGAAGCTATCTAGCTGCTAAATGCTCCACTAGGTTTACGAGCTAGTTGCTAACTTTATGTGTGATATGATGATATTCACGTAGTGTGGGTTTATCAGACTTTTTTTGGGGGGGGATGCTGTGAGACTGAACAAAAGTAAAACTACAGGCCTTCATACCAAAACAATGAGCTGAAAGATGCTAATAGCTCTGTAGCTGAGGGTGGAATTTACCACAAGCTACCCCTTTCACACATCACATGAATAAAATATTTTAAAAAATGTATTGGTGATTTCACTGATTCACCACAGGTTAGACTGACAAATGAGCTCTTGGAGGAGCAGCTGTACTCAAATAATCCACCTCATCTTCCAAAAAATGTCATTTCTACCTTTCCGAAAGTTTCTCAATAAGACCAAGGCTGCGTTGTCTTTTTGTCTCCCAGCGTTACAAATATCTGCGATGAAAGTGACCAAATGGAATGGCCAAGTATCTCTAAATTTTTCAAAAGAGCAACCAGACCTTGTTGGTTCAACCTGGCCAAACCAAACGGCTCTTGGTTTAGCTGTGATCCTGAAAAGTCAAAGGTCAACAACCGGCCCATTGGAAGTTCAAGAAACAGAAAAGAAAAGTGGTTGCAAAGACTGGAAACAATGTTACAAATTTAATAAAATGGTGGAAAAGCGTTTTTGGTATCATTTAACTTGATCAAAGCTTTTTTATTTCTCATCCTTGCTATTTACATGCTGCATATATGAATCATTGAAAGATGGTGTGAAGAAAATGTTTTATAATGACGTGAACAGACATTACGGCCATAAGAACCGCTTACAATGGAAAAAATAATCTTGAAAGAACTAGAGAAGACAATAGTCGCAAGAAAAGATCCTGATGCAACAAGAAAACGCACACGTCTCATGTTTCCCTGTGACGTACCCTCTATTGAGTATTGTTTCAGAGCATTAAGTTGCCCTTGCTGTAAGTGGCTCAGGTTAAGAGCATCAGATAAACTCCTACAGCGTAAATGGTAAAAGTACAGGCTGTCCGGTACAAACTGCTTCAAAATCTCAGTAGGCCACATTTAGGATTACCAGCCCACATTCCAGTGCCTAATGAGGACAGAGTTTTTGAAAAGAAAAATAGATTAACCTAGACTTTCTTTATACCCAATGCAATGCAGGTTTTAGTTTACAACGCCAGTCGGTTTTAAAAACCTGACCGCTCACTGTGAACCTGTATGCAGTCAGGTGACGTAGCGCAAGGTGGATTATCCCACTGTTCAGCCTTCTTTTCTAAGCGGCACAGTATCTTTACGTAACTTACACTACTCTGCCTTATTTTCTAATTGGCTGGATGTCGAGAAACGCACATATGTTGTTGTGATCCTACAGGGCGCCACAAGCAGCCTGCCCTTCTGAACTACGTTATGTAATGTGTGTGTGCACGTATGTGTGTGTGTGTGTGTGGGTTGGTTTATCCCTTTTGAAGTGAGGTAACCTTTTCAGTTTTGAGCATCAGGTGTTTTTGCCACTTTCTCGTGTGTGTGTGTGTGTTGCCCACTCCAATGATTTACTATTGCACTTCCATAAAATGGAGTATAATCAAGAAACAGTTTGAAGAGAGACAGAAAAAAATCTTTCACTAGTACTTCATAGTATTTGTAAACACTTTTTGGCCAAACAATTGTCCCTTTTAACCATTCTGTATCTGCTTGCTCCAGTGCTATATCACACTACCCAGAATGCACAAACACACACACACAGTTGAAGGATCCTTAGCAGTGTTGTTCAGGGAAGCGCAGAGCTTCAGCAGTAGTACATCACTGCATAACAGCCTCTCTGTTCGTCGGGCCAGATGGTTTCCTGTCTGTAGGCCCAACAAACACGATGAATTGAAGGCGTCAACAAGACTCGGCCTTGTTTTAAACCCATTACCCCCCCCCCCCCCCCCCCCCCGGAGGAGGCAACGTCCCCATTATTGTTCGATGACATGTGATGGACACAAAGATTAAAGGCTGATATCTTAAACAGATGTCAACAAACTGGATGGGGAGGAGGAGGCAGGGGGGTCATCCCAAAGTCAGTTATGTAATGTCTGGACAAGTCCTCATAGTACACATCTGCTCTTGGTTTCTAGATTACCCCTCCTGCTGCCTGCAAACGATTTATAAACTTAAAAATAAACAGCATCTTTTGACGAATAGAAACTGTCATTCTATATCTCTTTAAAGCTTTGCCAACCAAGAGCTTGCTACTTTACATTCAGGTTGCCATGTGTAGTTTTTTTTTTTTTTTGTCGCCCCTGTTTTCCTAAAAGTATGTGATAGCTAAAAATAATTTTATTGATGTACGTGGGAGCTGTGGAACCGAGAACATGGATTACACGAGTATTTTCCATCTCACCTTTTTCTGTCAAAGTCTTAGTGAATCATCAGTGTAAAAAAGTGCAGGGCTGAAGCATGAGGGAATAGGAGGCAGTGGGGTGACGGTAGAGATGGATATGATGGGACATCAATCCCAAGAGCGGCTCTCAAGATCAGCAGCTCGCTCCAGGCACTCCTTCCCTGGACTGTGAACTAGTGCTAGACACCCATTAAAAGCAGTCAAGTGCAACAGCGGTCGTCTTTCAGTGGACAATGATGGATGTTAAAAAAATAAACATGGGTTGGGTGGTTTCGAGATAAAGCTGGGGTTGTGGTTTTTACGCAGAGAGTAAGCCGCAGTGGTAACCAGACCCAAGTGACAGTGTGTGTGCTGCAAACTCCTATAGAGCAAAGAAGTGAAGCGTGGTCTGATTGCATCCATGACGTGTCCCCTCTGTATCAGACAGATCACCAAAAATCCTCAGATGTTCTCACATTGCAAGGCTGAATGGTAACTAGAGTATGATAAAGCTGTCGTGTTTCGGTGCAGAGACGGTCGGTTTTGAAGAAACTGCCAATATAAATTCAGGGTTAAAAAGCAAAAATAAGGTGTTTAATATATTCAGCAAGTTTCCCCTAACTCAAACTCTCAAAACTGTGTGATTTGGGGGTCTAGGGCGCATTAGCTGCCACCTCAAATTACTTAAAGTCAGGGCACATCTGGAATGTGAACAGAATCGTGGATGATAATTATTTGCTACTCCCAACGCCATGAACAAGTCATTGATCAAGAGATAACTTGATGGCTCAAAACATGAAGTAACATGGCTTTAAACATTAAGCTAGCTATTTAGCTAACTAGCTTACCGAGACAAGTCTTTGTCATTCAGACACCTAACGTGCCTCCCTCTTCAGATGCTCCAGCAAAACTGCCAGGCAAGGTCAACTTTGCAAATGTTGCAGCCCGCAACATTTTTCTTCTCATCTATCACTTGGCAAGAAAGCTAACGAGAGCATTTCCCAAAATGTTGAGCTATTCCTTTAAAGTTGAATGTCTTCAAACCATGACTAAGAGTAGCACTCAGATCAGATTAGGCAGATGTCTCAATAAGTGGGCAGCCACACTAATCTGTTATAACATTCTGCCAGGGTTTCTGTGTGTTTCTAATCCTTTCAGTCATGCAAGGAGATGATGTAGACCGTATCGATTTGATGTTTTTGTCCACAAAAGTTCAACCTTCTAACTTTTCTTCCTGATAACAAGGATGGAAATCTGTCATTTTAATGTTCCTTCAGCTTTTCCCTCCTCTCGTCCTCAGGTATGGTTCGGCGAGAAATTCGACGCCCCGTTGCTGAGCCCCAGGAGCCCACGCAGCCCGTTGGCACAGCGGCACGGCCCCGGCCTCGCCGACGTCTTCCAGTATGACCAGTGGCTGGCAGTGCGACATGAGGCCACCCTGGTACCCATGCAGGAGGATCTGGCCATCTGGCTCACCGGCATGCTGGGTAAGTGCTCATATCAGCCAAGAAGTACGCTTTTAGTTGTGCAGTCAATTCAAATTAGCTTTATTGGCATGAATGTAATAACAACATTGCCAGAGAGAGAGAGAGGGAGAGAGAGAGAGAGACCCCATACATTTCATTAAATAAGTAATTAAAGCATAAAGTAAAGTAAAGTGCAGCTCTGTCTCTACCTGTCCCCTGTCACACTGGGAGCAGAGTCTCTCCTCTTGTGGTAGCCAGCTCTGTCTGTGGCGACCCTTTTCTATGGCCAGGCTGTGTTCACTCAATCTGTATGTTGTCAACATTTTTCTTAATTTGGGACATTTTATTGTACTCAGGTAATTTGCCAGTGTGAATTCTCTTTTTAGGGTCAGATAACATTGTAATTTACTTTGTGTTTTGGTCATTTCTTTCCAGTATTCAATATATTTTTTGTTTCTGTTTGCTGATTATTTGGTTTGGTCTGCTTGAGTTAGTGTTGCTGTCCTGAGCAGTCTCATTTAGCCTTTTTGCCCTCAGACTGAAAACATGTTCATTTTGGGGTTAATGTTTCTCTTTCTGATGTGTTCTGTTTTACTGTGGTGTAGTTACATGGATACATACAACAGAGTAAATGTGTCCAAACCTGTGCATATGTGAATCAACACTGGGCAGTTTCATGATAACAGTTTGGCCCTCGAGGCTAGGAAAATGCCGAAGCACAATTGACACGGGGTCTCCCATGTAATTGGATTTGGATGGTCCTATTTCCAACCGGGACTTAGCAAACCATAGAAACAGGAGTGGAACAAAATCCCTCATTTCATCTGTCCCTACCATTATACTGGCATCTATTGTCCCGTATGGTACAATGGAGCAGTGAGGAAACTGAAGCTGACTGGAAACTGACTCCGTTGAGTGGTGAAACTGTTTTGTTTGTTTTTTTTAGAAGCAGACAGTTGAGTTTTTCTCATGAGGAATGCGGGCACGTTATCAAACAGTCACCATGAGTTATTGGTACATATTATTAAAACGTCAGTCCTGAGGGCCCAGATATTGCAGAAACAGGTGCTGGCAGCAGATACAGTTTCAGTCCTTGATGCTCAGCCGTCGTCGTGTGAAAAATAAACTTTTGTGGGGCAGTCTTAAACGCGTAGTGAATTTTGTTCCCAATGTAAATTCAGTTCACATGGCCTTTTGTTGCGTTTCCTAGGGCAGTGATTTACAATAAGGGGTCATGGGAGCACCGTAAGTCCACCAAAAGGAGTTTATGGGAGAGACCTCTGTTGAAAATCAACTGCCAGTGTGCAGTCTTTTTATAAGGTCCTATAACAAAAGGCTCTCTAGAAGGGGGGGGGGGGATAGCTTGTAGAGAATTTTGTATTAAATCTGGGTTGTTTTTGTGTTTATTTTGTACTAGAGATGATGTTTTGACCTACACAAAGTGAAACGAAGTGGGACAAATCTCATATTTTATGAAAGGGCTACATCCAGATGAAAAAGTAGGATCACTTGCATTGTGCTGTGCATTTTATTCTGTGTCTTTCTCATTTTCATTTTCCCAGGAGAGGAGGTCAGAGCAGAGTTTTTCATGGAGGAGCTGAATAACGGCGTGAAGCTCTGCCAGCTTATCGGTGTGCTGCAGACTAAGATCGCCCAGAGCTGCCCCTCCGCACTCTGCAAGGTGAGTCAGACGGCAGCGATTAAAATAACTCTGACCATTGTCCAAAGGGCAGCTTTCATGCCGACACGTGGGGGGATGTTTGGGGAGAGCTCTGTGTGTCTGAAGTTCAATTTTTCTGTTAACTCTTTGCCACTTTCTACAATGTTTTGATGCAGTTTACTTTGAAAATTTCCCTTTTTTTGTTGGAGATTTTTCTGCCACAGCTAATAGATGAGCTCTGCGTTTACAATCAAGGATGCGCATGTAGCAGACGACTACTACACAATATATTGATCAATGAACTTCCTGTTTACCATCAGAATACACTTGACAGTAGATAAATGACAGTAGATAAACTTTTCCTGACAGCTGTTCCCCACGAGGAAGGTGGCATGTAAGCGGGACGCCTCTCCAGGATCCTTCTTCGCTCGTGACAACACCGCCAACTTCCTGGCCTGGTGTCGCCACATCGGTGTGGAGGAGACCTACCTTTTTGAGTCGGAGGGCCTCGGTAAGAGCCGCAGCAGGAATGGCCGCTGCTTTTAATCTATTCTGGATCCTTTTCCAGCTGTATGTTTTTTTTAAATCACTGTAGATGCACAATGCCTCTCTCGTCATGACAAGTTGAAGCACATGTGGAATCCAAAACATGAAGTTCTGCTATAATACCAGTCAAATTAAATGAAAATCTATATTTACTACTATTTCATGTGAATATTTTCCTCCTTAGACTCCAACTCTGTTGCTGTCCTGCACAGTAACGGGAGCTCTGTTAAAATCCAGCCATCTAAAATATAAACCCATGTCTGAGTAAATCAGACCTGACTTAAGTTTTTTTCCGGATATGACCTGGCAATCCTTTCCTGGTTATGGTTTTTAAATCCCAGTAGAGGTGGCAGGTTTTGTTTATCAAAGCAGGAATTTTCAACAAAGAATGTATTCTTAACCGTCTGGTAAATCTTTTATTCCTCAGATTAAAGTGCAACAAAGTCTAAATAACTTTCTTAACCTGCCTTACCCCAGCCAAGTCATGCTTTTGACTTTGAAAACTTTGAGTTTTCCTGCGTGTGCTTGGCCTCAGTCTACGGTGGGAGGCATTTTTCCTCTTCATTTTTTTTAGCAAGCACTGGTTGAGTTCAAAGAGCGTCTTAAAATCAGGCCAAAAGGAAGTTGAGACCAAGTAAAAATAAGTCACTAGAGGCATATGCAGTGCTATGCAAGACTAAATGATTAAGGATTTCTTTTTAAATATTTACTAGGATGTCGATCTATCCGCCGGGTCGCACAAAACACTACAGCATGTGTATGATTATTAACACTCAGCTGTTTATAGCGATTGCGTGAGTTTAAGAGAAGATGGAGCAGGGTGAGCAATAATACCAGCAACCGTAAAAAAGATAGGTGGAAAGAATTGAAGTTGCCATTGTGACTACAAAAGTGCAGTTAGACAGAGACACAGCTGTTACCTGGCAGTTACCTGTATTTTTGGTTTATGATTAAGAATGGGATCTTTCTTCCTTCAATTAAGCACATCAGTCAATTATTTAATTATGACATGAATATAATTAAGCCCACGCATTTTTGGGGCAAATGTTTGGGCATCATGTTGACTGTGTAAAACAGGCCGCGGCTGTAAGCTCCTAATAACTCTGCAGATCTCTGCTGTTTAAGCCTTGCTTCTTAATGGTTTAATAGGATCTGCCGTGGAGAGCAATCATCCTGAGTACTCTGTATGGAGGATCACTTCATTACAAGTAATGGCTCTCCAAAAAACCGGATTGGAGCGATTTTAGAAAGAAAAGCCAATACGTCTCCTGTTCCAAGAATATATATTTTTGTTAAATGAACGTCCCTGAGTGGCTTTAAAGTTGTGCCCTCCATCCCAACCCTGTGTTCTCTTCTGCACGAATCCCCCAACAACCCCCTCAGGGAATAATTGCGTTTATCTCATGTGCTCATAATGTCACGTTTTGGAAGGTAACACGTGGATCTTGTGCCTTGTCCCTCTTCTCTGCAATCCTGTTCTGCGTCTCTAAAGAAAGCAGGCTGTTAATAGTTGTGTTTTCCGCCTCAGTGCTGCACAAGGAGCCTCGGCAGGTTTGTCTCTGTCTGCTGGAGATCGGGCGCATCGTCTCCAAGTAAGTCTTTGAACACAGTAGAAGAGGAAAATCGAATCATTAAGAAACAGTTTCACTTCTGTAAACTCTGCTGTGTGTTTCTCAGGTACGGCGTGGAGCCTCCTGTGCTGGTGAAGCTGGAGAAGGAGATTGAGTTGGAGGAGACTCTGCTGATGGCAGAGGAGCCGCCTCCGGCTGTCAAAACCTTCAGCGTGTGCTGCCAGCACGGCGGCCTCTACCAGCCGGGGGTGAGTCCTGACTGACGGACTTTTTTTATATATAAAAAGACAGAACATGAAACTTTCCACCTGGAGGCAGGAAGTGTGGCACGAGAGTGGCCTTCCCCTCCAGGTTAAGTTGCTGCCCCCAAACACTTGTAACATTGGTGAGCATCTAACCTTAGTCAAGATGACGATCTGGACTAAGGTAACGACGCAAATGAGCCAAAAAAGAACTGCTGTTTGTTCAAACAACGAGATGTAAAGTGTTGAAGGGCTACAGCTGATCACGTTAGCGTCACATAGGCGGGACATGTGCGACCCAGTTGAAGCAGAGCCAAGACTCTCGCCGCTTCATTGGCGGCCCACGGGGTATGACGCATCGCAGCTGACCATGTGACGCTCTGCCGGCGCCCTGTGACTTGCCGTCACACGTGACCCCCAGGCAACACTTAACGTGACGTCATGCAGCCATAAAAGTGCGCACAGCGATAACACTCCTGCGTTTCGGTCGCCCGTGGGTTTAACACTTTCTAATTGTTTCTGATGGACACTGTGATTGTAACACTGACTGTGTCAGGTGGGTCGGGTTTGGTGGGTAAAACAAGGTTCTAACACTATCAGGGTTTGGGGGATTTATTCTCAGAGGAGACAGCTGGGCTAAAAATAACCACACTCACTGAAGTGGAAGGCAGATAGAAGCATCTACCAACTAGTATCCAGCTGCATTTTCCTTCACACATTCAGATAAGCATCAAACAATCAGAGTGGAAGCTGCAGCTTGTAGCAGACACTGTCAGTAATTGTTATTGTGGTCCAGCGTGTCTTCATCCCCTTGTCTCTTGTATCTCATCAACATGTCTCACTGCTTGACTCGGTGGCTTTGTCTGATAGCTCACTTACGCAGCAGCAAAGGTCCTTAAATGTATTGCTTTGTTTTCCAGCCAACTGAGCTGACACGGATTTATCTTCCATCTGTAAATGTTCAGGTTATCCCAATGAGATCTCCAATATGGCCGCCTTATGGTCCTCTATTCTCCCTTGTAGGAACATGGCTTGGACGACCCACCCTGCAACTGCTCCAACAGAGTTTCCATTGAGTACTTGTCTGAGGGACGCTACAGACTGGGAGACAAGACTCTCTTTATTCGGGTGAGGGCTCTGAGCACACTCTCTCTGCAGCGATAGCAAACACATTGGCTCATTCCACGTTAGTAATCCAGACAGTCACTTTGTCCCTTTCAGAAGTAGCAGCCCGGTCATGTTTATTATTTCTTTTTTCTTTCTTTCTTTCTTTTTGGGATTTTTCAAAGGCATACAATTCATCAGAGCATTTGTGAAAAGTAAAATGATATATATTCACTTTATAAAGACATATTATAAAAACAGAGTACATATTGCTGAACATGAAAACAACTCTCTAAAAAAATGAAATGAAATGGCACAACCATAAGTGACCAAATAAAAGTAGAAGAAAATAAAGAAAAAGAAGGAAAAAGATGCCATGAGACACAGATATTCTGTACCACTACATATTGCCCATGTCACAACCAACCCAGTATTGATACCCCTCCCAACCACAAAAGTCTCAATCAGGAATAAGTGGGGAAATTAACCTCTTAACGAATTAGTAAAAACTGACCCCATGTTTTCCTAAATTTATTATAAAATGTTTCCAATTTAAGAAATATTGGATGTATGTCTCGCAGCTTTTTTTAAATGCACTAATTTCACATGTCAGGGTTTCATATTCTATACAATAAGAGCTGCCGTACAAAATACAGTACAAGCATAAAGTATGTGTGAACACGCACGTGCTGGAGGCTGTGATTGGACACATGTAAGCTCGTTACCCAGCAGCGGTGGATTGCGTTAGGTGATTACATCATAATTACGCTGCTGCCCGTGGTGCCAGGCCTCAGCACACGCGCTCATTTATAGCTCTGTAGCAGCTATTTTGGGAACTTGGGAATATGTCTCTATTGATTTGTGACTTGTCTTGAAAGATCTGTGACTGGAAAACATTTGTCTTCCTATTATATTATTATTATTTTATTTTTTTTCACCAAACCAAATGTATTTTTCTTGAAGACAAAATATTCTTACCAAATGTGTTGTTCTTCCGCCCACAGATGCTTCACGGTAAACATGTGATGGTGCGTGTCGGTGGCGGCTGGGACACGCTGCGTGGTTTCTTGATGAAATACGACCCTCTGCGAGTGCTGCAGTTCACCACTCTGGAGCAGAAGATCCTGGCCTTTCAGAAAGGCCCCCCTGGCCTGGGCGGTCACCATGGCAACGCAGCTCCACCCCCTCCTCCTGACATGGACCCCCTCGCCGCTGTTAACATCCTCATCTCCTCCTCGTCCTCCTCTTCGTCCTCCACCTCGTCGTCATCATCTTCCTCCTGCTCGGCCAGTAAGCCGGTGCTTGTGACCGCTGCAGGTCAGACGTGTCGGTCCTACAACGCCTCCCCGGCCTGCACGCCCACGTTGCCCAGGAAAGGTGCTGCCACAGCACCCAGGAAGAATCTCCAGGGGACACCTTCTTCCCCTAGGAAGCCCACCCAGCTGCCCCTGCCCAGCACCACCAAAGGCTCCTCCTCTCTGCCTTCCACGCCTGTGGGAAGTTCCTCCAAACAGGCTCCCAGCCCGGGGTGTCACGGTGTGCAGGTGCATCGCAGAGCTCTGACTCCATCCTCAGCTCCGCTACCTGCAGGTCCAAGCCCCGCCTCCAAACTGAAGCTCAGGGCGCCACCACGCGGCGCCGCCTCTCAGCCCAGGAGCCCTGTCTGCCCTGAACCGTCTTCCAAATGCCCCAAACCCTCCAGTCCCTGCTCCTCCCCCACCGCTGCCTCCGTGCCTCGCCCCGTCACTGCACCAGTACGGGCACCCACCCCTAAAGATGCCCGGCCCCCATCGGGCGCCAGCCAGCGCTCTCGCCTTGCACAGCGCCGTCCCGGCTCTCCGGCCTCACGCCTCCGTCTAGAGGCAGCCAGGCGGGTGCGGACGGCCGCAAGAGCTGGGTGACATCAATGCCAAGAGCAGCGACGGCGATTCCCCAAACCCGGACCCCCACCCCCAGCTCACGGACAGCCTCCCCCGTGCTGCCAAAGCCCGCCAGCTCCCTGCCCAAGAGCAAAGAGGTCACAGCCAAAGCCAAAGGGCCGGCCCCAACCAAGGCCACTGCTGCCCCTCCGCGCAGTACGACTGCTGCTGTCCCCGGGCGGGTCCCAGGGGCCAACGCATGCCCTTCTCCCACAAGCAAAGCTAGCCTGAAAACACCAGCCACAGCGCAGAGAGTGGGGCGGAAGCCAGCAACCACTACTAACCCCATCAACGGGAAGTCAACTCTAAAACCTGAAGCGGGTCAGGCCCTGGCCCCGCATAAAACCAGCCCCAACGTCAAAGCTGTTAAGACCGAGCCCAGCAAGAAGATCCCACAATGCAAGGGCAAACGTGAGGATGCTTATTTTGAAATGACCAGTAGGAGGAGGCAGAAGACGTAACGGGGACAGTCTCTGTGCCAAAGCAGCACTTGATGGAGCTCAGACTCTTCAAATAAATGAACCCGGTCACTAATACACATCAGAAAGCTTCTTTTTGACTACTTTTAAATGTATTTTTGTTTGTTGGTTTTTGGATGTTATTTAATAGTCTTTTATTTACATGTTTTAATCCAAAAGGGTCAAAGATGTCATGCTTTGTGTGTCTCGTCTTTGTGCTGATGTAATGGTCTGTTTTTTGAGAGGTCAGCTCCATGTTCGTGGTTAACACTAAAACTTGCACAATGTTTACATTTTCACCTTCATCACAAGTACCGCCGTTACAATTTATTGTGTCAAATGACTTTTAAAGAGCGAAGGATAGAACCATGTTCAAACACGAACCTGCTTTTTTAGCTTAACACAAGATCACAGCCATGATTTAGTAAGACGCACTTAGCTGAACATTTTCAGGAAAAAGGTCAGAGTCCGAGTCCTGTTTTCTGCAACAGGTTACCAAAGTGGTGAAATTTCTGAAGTTCGGTGACACAACTGGAACAGAAATAACGGTTTGTAATAGATTTTTCTCCCCAGTGAGAACATGTCTTCCACTGGTGGACAGTCGATGTATTACACGTCTGGTTTTTGTTTTTTATAAATGATACTGGGTGGGCGGTTTGTGTCGATGGCGCCGAACAAAACGTCATCTAGAACGGACCTTCCTGTCATGTGCCTTCATCAGAAATCTCTGAGCGGCATTAGAATGTATTAGATAATATGTTGGTTGGGGTGGGGGGTAGTTTTTACTGATGAAAATTGCACAGTGAGTACGAGCACACGTGACTTTGGTTTCTCAGAGAAAAGCCAGGGTCGCAAGATGAACTACTGATCAAACGCCTCTTTTATTTGGAACAGAAAACACTCGAGGTCCTCCAGTGGCCAAAATCATTTTAGGGCAGAATCTACTTGGTATAGACATGTTTTTGTATGATTTCTAATTTTTTGTGTTTTCAAAATTCTAGTTTTCTATGTGGTGTGTGTGTGTGTGTGTGTGTGTGTGTGTGTTTTATCAGTGAGGCTTTTTTCTTGTTTGGCACTTTACAGAAACCGCTGTTTGTTAAGATTTGAATGTTGATCCTGTCGATTGTGTCTCTTGTTCCTGCTACCTGTTGGGTTTTTTTTGTGTCATTTTGATTAATAAATGGATCAAATGTTTTGAAGGTAATCTTGGCTGCCTTGCGTTTGTCTTGTGGAACACGTTTTGCTGTTGCACGTTCCTCCAAATGTATTTGTAATGTATTCATGTATTTTGAAGATTTGTTTCCCCTCTGAAGCCTTAAAACTCTCTGAGCCTGGATACCCAGTTTTCAGACTGTGAAAGAAACCACACAAGTGCTTAGCAGTATGTAGAAGAAACTAATTCTGCCTGACCTGTGAATTACCAATGACTGTTTACTTGTATACATTGGCAAGAACTCAGTGCAGAAACTTTGAAACTATTAACAAGACTCGCTCTACCCATAGTGAAATCACAGTGGAGTTGAAGGACTTTGGCCAATTAGACCTCAGGACTGTGTAGATGTGTACAGACTTGAGTATCGACATTTCCCTCACTCATGTTAGATTTGTTGCATCTTTTCAGGCAGGAAGAATTACATTTTTTATTATACTTAAAAAAAACAACAACCTGAGCAATAACAGTAGGAATGTGCCAGGGGGTTGGTAAAGTGTTCATTTAATTCATAAACATTTGGAATCAAGTTTGATGCTATAAAATGTACTTGGATGATAAAACAATTTGCAGTATTTTTTGTTATGGGCTGCAGACATGAAAAGCAAACAACACATCTTGAAATTAAAAATGAACTACAAAGTTTCAGACAACATATCTGCAGGGGAAAAAACCAAGTATAGATTAAACAAGTGTAAGATTGTTTCAACAGCACTAAAAGAGCAGTTCATATGAATGTTTTTTATTTTTTTGTGCGAGTCTTTATTTTTATCTTTGGACTTCTTGCCCATGGATATTTGACACAAATGCACGATGCAGAAGGGAAGATTCAGCGGTTCCCTTAAAGGAGTGGCAGTGTGATCGATTGATGATGGAGCAGTGGATACGAACATACCTTAGGTGTGGGAGAGCTAGGTTCAATTTCCACTGTGACATAACAACCAATGTGTCCTTGAGCAAGACACTTAACCCTTAGTTGCATAGGTGTGAGACCTCTTTGGATAAAAGCGTCGAGTAAATGTAAAACAAAACACCTTTTGGAAATGGCCTCCATTCCGAGAGCAAATCTTTTTGGGGGGTAATTCAGAATAACTCATTAGTTTTATCATATATAATTATCACATTTCATTCCGGTGACCTCACACAATTTCCAATATAGCCAACCATCTTTATCCTAAGCAGAGATCAGCCAGAATAAGTGAAATCACCTGTGAAGGTGTGCAAGGTCTTCAACGAACATAAACTACAGTTTGACTTTAAACCTGAAAAAGTACACACATTATAAAAAATAGCCAGCTGTTGGACTCTTCTGCCATCTAGTGGTCTAAAATAAACACTAATGTTGAGTTAGTTCTGGTGGTTTAATGTTGTGATGTAAATTGGATTATAAAGAGAAAGTGAGGAAAACATTTTACTCTTAAACTTTTGAATGTAAACCACATGTCAACTTCTCTTTTTATACATCTGCATGATAAACAGCAACAGACACACAACCCTAAATCACACAGATAGAACAAGACCAAGGTTTCATTCTACACCCAAATTGAATCTCCTCTGATTGACAGTATGTAGTGATTGTGTAGTTTCTCTGTGCTTCAGGCCTGCGCAGCAGAGCGGTCCAGAGGGGCAACTGTTAGCTTAAGTGGAATCAGCTGTTATCAGCTGTGATGAGAGTCAACTGCATTAGTCACACGGGCCTCTGGACACCAACCTCCAAGGCAAAAAGTAGTGATTTCTATGCAGCAGAAGCGGTGGTGGGAGTATTGGGATCCTTTACTTAAGTAGAAGTAGTAATACCACACTGAAAATAGTACTTACACTACAGGTAAAACTCCTGCATTCCAAACCTTATTTAAGTAAAAATAAAATAGTTCATTTAACCTAAGAAGTAGGAGAATTTTCTCAACACATAAAGGCTCACCACTTCATCCTTCATGTTATCAGAAAAATTCAAAAACACCAATTTTGAGATCCATGGTTTTCACTGGACAGGAAAGATATGAACATTTGTAATCTGAATAGTATCTAACTAAATCAGCCAGACAAATGTAGTGTAGCTCTGAGATGTGGTGAAATACAGTATTGTACACGTAGTTGAGTAAATGTACCACTGACCTGAGGTCAATACAGTTAAAACCTGAGTAGGGGGGGAAGCACAAGACTAACTTTAAAGCTGCTACAATCAATATTTTGCATTAGCATGGCACAAATGACTACAAAAGGTGTCACTTGTAGAGACACAGAGAATTACAGCATCACCCAGCTCTGCTGCTCTCCTACAGCTAGCAGAGCGTTTTAGCTTTAAGCTCATGGTTTTCAATATTGGATTTGCCACGTAGATAGACACGCGACTCAAAATGAATGCTAGTGTTGCTTTCTATCTGCCGGATGAACAAATTTCCAAGATCAACTTTAAAAAAATGATATTGGTATTAGATGTGGTATTTTTGTTTTACAGCTCCCTGTACTCAAGTGGCCAAAAATTAGTTTATACAGCTTGTAAGAAAACGGATTCAGAACACTGACTATACTGTACATTCATTGTGCTTTGTAACATGGCCTCATCTTTATTACTGGCCAAATTTTTTTATTAGTTTATTGTAACTGCTTATTATAATAACTTGGAATTTTTTATAACATTGTTTTGCTGTGAGGCATCTTGAAGTACCTTTTAGTGCAGCAAAATTAAACATGTATATACAGTATATACCATCTACATTATAGCATAACCAAGATACAGAAAGCTTTTATAGGCATTAATTTAATATCAAAAAATGTTAAATTACAATTGACCTCTTTCATGCATATGGTTTTGCATTTTATTTAAAAAGTCACAAGGCCAGAAGGTTCAGCTCAGTGACTAAATAAAATACGGACGGATAGTAGAGCGTGAAACCCTGAGAAAAGTCATGGCACATTTAAACATATTCACAGATTGACAGCTCATTAATCAGCACTGTTACAGCCCGAAAAATCTAATATAATAAAATTCAGTGTGCAAATTACAAAAAGACTGGGACTGACGAGTTTAGTCCAATTAACAACACACACAAGTAAGCTAGGGGTTAAAACGTCTGTTGTGACAGTGAATGCAGAGAGGGAGAGCTGCATGTTTTTTTCTTATTTTCTGTAAAGGCTAAAAACATAAAAACTGCAATATTGTGTATCTTTACTTACTGTCAGTTTTTGTTCAGTGTCACGTGACGTGTATGCCAGTTTACTGACCATAATGACTGAACCTAAAACATCCAGGGAGAAGTGGCACATTTAGAGTTCAGACTGAACCATGACATCACCACACAAACTTTATCGTTTACATTTTCGATCTATTTCAAGTTTGAAATCAACTTTAAAAAAGGTACAAGGTATTTTTAGTAAATGTCTGGCCTGAGTGTGTAAATTTAAAATCAAACTACAAAAACACAGCATTCTGAGTGAAGAAGTAGATACCAGACATTTAGATTGTGACTTTAGTGCAAAATGTAAAAAGAGAAGAAGCAACAGACACCATAAAATATCAGCTACATTTTAGTTATTATAAAAGACATTCAAAGGCAGTTCTTTAGTTTTTCTTGACCAGTTTCAGACTGTTAAAATGTCTTTTCAGTGTTGAACAAAAGTGCTGTGAGTCTTTGTACAAAAAACTTTTTTTCTTTCTCGTTTTGTTGAGATTTTTAAACTGAAAATCCACCTGAAGAGTGTCAGTGATAGAATCCCTCTTGGTATCACTTAACCTGCATTTCTACTGAGACCGTCTTCCAATCCGGTCATCTGGACTGAAGTTCCAGCACCAGTTATGAGGAACACTACTTCTCCTGATCACTAATATCGCCCCGGCTTCCTTGAAACTTGGCAGTCTGAGTCTCCACAGGTGAAAAATGCATTTTCCCTCCCTGGTTCAGATAATCTGCTTTCAGACGGAGGTGGTCAGGGTGTCTGAAGTTTACAGGAGCAGAGGCGTGTGTTCTCCGGCTGGTTCTGTCCGCCTGGTGAGCTGCTGCACCCAGGCCAGGAGGCGGTCGGGCAGCGGGGGGAAGTGGTGGCTCGGGTCGAGGACGTTGGTCTTGCGGCGCTCGCGTTCCTGCAGCCACATGAGATACGGGCTGGGCGGGAAGAACGGCCGGGAGCGCTCACGGTACAGCTGCAGGACGATGCCGCCGGCGCCGAGCACCACCCACACCGTGATCATGATGTAGTCTAAATGAGAGGAGAGGAAGAGGCGAGATTGCGTTAAGATGAGACCAAAGTGTGTGAGCTTGGTATATGATTTCAGATGTGAACTCACCGATGGTTTGGAAGGGCACGTCAGTGAACACTGCACTGAAGTTGTTGTTGAGGAAGCGTTTGAGGATGTTCAGCGTGATGTAGGAGAGGCTGGTGTAAATGTAGGCGTTGACAGCCAGAACTACAGCGTACGCACCGACAACGCCGCACGTGATGATGTTTCCCTGATACCAAAGAAGCACACACAAAAAAAATACACCACTTTGAGACACTGAGAAAGACATCGTTCTTTATTCTTACTTTTTAAATTTAGATTAGGTATTGAGTTTGCTGTAAAGGATCACTGGTGAAACAACAAAATACAGAATTACTGGCAATTTATGGGCAAATATTTCAAAATAAGATAATAGCCTGATTTTTTTTGTCCATGTCTGCAATTTTTCACAATGAACATATTCAAATGGCCACTGAGGACAAGTAAGGGAGCATACAAATACAAATTAAGTTAATTGTATCTTGTTTAAGGACTAAAGCTGGGAAACAATTCATTTAGAAATATAAACACAACAATTTGTGCTTTTTTACAGGGAGTTACAAGCTGTAACCATTTCTTGGGCTGGTGCTGTGACTTCCTGGTGTCTTGTCCTCACTGTGAGGTTGCCAGGCAACCAGTGAAATAGAAACAGACAAGAAATTCATAGTTTTCACGTGGCGTCACATTCCAAAGAAAAGGCTCCCTTGGAGGGCAATTTTTTTTCCCCACTGCCTGC